CATATGCTTTGTGATAAGGAAGGAAAATATCATTTTTAAAAAGGACATGTGGATATGCCTCAGAGGCACTGAATGGTCCCTTTTTCTTTTTTTGGACAATTATTTGTTAGCAAAACTGCGATAGCTCTTGAGTGTGTGCATGTTGAATTGCTTCAGTCGTGTCTGACTCTTTGTGACCCTATGGGCTGTAGCTCACCAGGCTCCTCTGTCCATGGGATTCTCCAGGCAAGAAGACTGGAGTGGGTTGCCATGCTCTACTCTAGGGGATCTTCCCGACCCAGGGATTGAACCCGCTGTCTCTTATGTTTCCTGCACTGGCAGGCAAGTTCTTCACCTCTAGTGCCACCTGGGAAGCCCTGCAATAACTCTTAGGAGATTGAAAAGAGGAGCAGGACACATTTTCTTGCCTTCGAGATGCACACAGTTGATGGAGAAAAAAAGACTCACTCTACCAGTATTTACATGGTGCCTGCTCTGCAAACTCCACAGCTTCTCATAAAGCCTCATTTCCCTGAGGCAGTGAAAACCTAATGTTTAAACCTGTGGGCTCTGGATTCAGAGCGCCTGGGCTCAAACCTCACTTCATCACTTTTTGGCTGTGTGACTTTGGGCAAACTGCTTGACGTTTCTGTGCTTGTTTAGCTCATTCGTAGAATGAGGTCAAAATGGAGAATCCCTTGTTGGGTTGTGAGACCTAAGTAAATTGAGAGCTGTGAGGCTCCTTAGAGAGGAGGGCCTGGCACAGAGTAAGTGCTGGGTAAGCACGGATGACTTTCCCCTCCTGGACTGCATACCCAGGGCTGCAGCCAAATCATGTCAAATTCTGGCGCCAGTCCCTGCTCGTTATTTCCGTAGGGACAAAGGCAGGGGAAGCCACACACTGTCTCTCAGGCCATGACGGCTCCAGTGAAATCTTGACTTTCTAAATCATCGTGGACTATGCCATCCTTTTTGGGGGGTGAGTTTGGGAGCCTGTATTTTCCAGCATGGTGCCCCTGCTCCCTCCAGTTGAGATGTCAGCAGATTTTGGCCAGTTGATTTCCTAGTGCTGTGTGTTAAGCCATTTTAGTTGTGTCTGACTCTCTGTGATCCCACAGACTGTAGCCGGTAGTCTCCTCTGTCCATGGGATTCTCCAGGCAAGAATACTGGAGTGGGTTGTCATTTCCTCCTCCGGGGGAATCTTCTAGACCCAGGGATCGAACCTGGTCTCTTACATCTCCTTACATTGGCAGGCAGGTTCTTCACCATTAGCATCACCTGGAAAACCTCAGTTGGTTTCCTAGATTCCCCATCAATCTGGCAGAAGAGACTGGCCCATATAGGCTACTCATGTCTTTGTCCTGCTTCACCTGAGTTTATGATTTCTCTTTCTTAAGTTGCTCATCCAAGATCTAGTGCAACTTACTGCCTCTCTGGTCTTAAAAGGCAGACTCTGTGAACACAGCTGATGAGCTGGAGCCTGGGCATCAGAAGCCTGATAAGCAAATCTTCCAGGAAGTTCTTTCAGGGCAGGGTAACTTGGATCTGCCCCCTCCTCGGCCTTTTCCCATATCTGATCAGGCCCAGCCAATGGTGAATTTTCTATCATTTGGGGATGTGGAGTGGTTATGGGCATACATTATTAATGTCGAAACCCATGCCATCACCCTAATGAGATTTTCTGAGATGATTAGTTTCAGAACTTATTTTTTGTTGGAAAGCTTAGTCATTCTGGGTTTGTTGGAAAGCTTAGTCATTCTGGGTTTGTGTGTGTGCGTGCATTTTCTTGGCTGTGCTGTGGGGCATGTGGGATCTTAGTTGCCTGCCCAGGGATCAAACCTGCACCTCCTGCATTGGTAGCATAGAGGCTTAACCTCTGTGCTGCCAGGGAAATCCTGAAAGTTTAGTCAGTCTTTAGAGTCAAGTTATTTTTCCTGAGTAAAAAAATAACTTTCTATTTAGAAAAAAAATTTCCAGTACTTCATTTCTTAGCCACATCAAAAAAGTGATGATAATAATGCATTTATCAAGATGAAAAAATCAGAAGGGCTAGAGGTAAGTTCCATTGACACAGTTACCTTGTTCATTCACATGTAATGTCATTTCAGTCAAAACTGCTTCCGGCAGCACTGGCAGGTAAGAAGCAAACACGATTGTCAGAGGCAGCTTGGTCCTGTGTACACCGAGTCACTGGAAGCTCTGAGCTGCTGCATCTTGATTTATCCAGGAGGAACTCACAGCTATGAGTTGGCACAGACAGATGGGGCTACTGGCGGCTTGAAAGCAGGCAGTTGTGGGTTCTGACCTCATTCTGTTGCCCGCTAGTGTTAACTTTATGATGGGAGAGCCCTCTGAAAGCCCCAGCTCCTACAACTGGGAAACACCAATACAAGCCCACCTCACCTTTCCCCCAAACACACAGCATGGTTGTGATGCTGGTCCAGGGCTGAGAAAACCAAGCATCTCAGCTCCATCTTGCCCCTCACTCTCCTCAGTTCTGAGGCCTTAGAAGGTTCAGGCTCACAGAGTGGCTGCCTTCCAACTGTCTATTTTCTTTCTTCTTTAAAAAAAAAAAAAGTTTTATTTATTTATTTATTTGGCTGTGCCAGGTTGTAGTTGTGGCATTCTCCGAGATCTAGTTCCTGAACTAGGAATGGAACCCAGGCCCCTGGCACTGGGAGGGAGGAGTCTTACCCATTGGACTTGGGTAAGTCCAATATTTTCTTGCTGCCTTGCCCCCAAAACTTCAGATGCAGAGGATCTATCACGGAGGAGCCTTTTCCATCCCAAGTCTGTTTCTGCCTAGGCCTGGGAGAGCCTCTGCTAACTCCCTTGGGAAGGGCATTTAAGGTTCCTGAAAATACTCCTTTAAAAATCCTATCAGGCCCCATTCCCTTTTCTGGTTTGGGTTTCTTTGTCCGCCGCCCCAGCCCTCCCTAAGCACTAAGAGCCCAGGATTTTTTTCTGAGTTCTCTGGAAGATGGTAAAATCTTCTCTCTTCTGCTATCACCTTCCCAAAAAATCCTCACTCTGAAATGACAGGCCTTTATTTTAGTATTTCTACTTTGTGGACTAAAAAGGAGGGATTTATTTTTGACCAAATAGAGACTGGGAGGATTCTGGAATTCCTCACAGCATTGTTAGGGCTCATGGAAAGGCCAGTTTTCCTCCTGACACTCACCCATCTAGCTGTGTTCACTGTCTGTCCTGTTCACCAGGTGACTGTCAAGGCCTGGCCTAGCACTGGCACAAATGGCTGAACAACCATGGATGCTTTCCTCCTAGAACTCCCATTCCCCTTCTAGAGGCTTCTCGCTCATTCTCTGTGACTAGGCTTGCCCATTACTTCCTCTGAGAAGCCTTCCTTGAATTCCTCCGGTCTTCTGAGCTTTTTCCCTCTGGCCTCCCAGATCCATTATTTTGACACTGAGCATGTTGCAGATGGCTTTGTGTGTGTTTCCCTGCTGGACTGTGAACTTTCAGGAGGGCAGAAACTGTGTCTTCGTGGTTTTTGTATCACTGTGCTTACCACAGACTGGGTCCCATTATCTGAACTGCAGCAATCCTATCTTTCCCTTTAAAATGTAGGTAGAATGCTCAAGAGAGAAAAAAGGTTTGGAGACAGAGACTGCCATAGTGGGAAGACTTCCCGCAAGTGATCCAGGGAACTGAGACAAACATGAGTTTGGGAGGGATGCTGTGAGGAGCAGGGGCACCTGTCCAGAGGCTACTGCATTTTCTAAGTAATTGACTCTTCACCTTACTTGGGTAGTAAAGTGCCCTGGCTTTGGTGCAGAAGCAGGAAAGCAGCTTATCAAAAAAAAAAACAAAACAAACCTATATTCTCAGATGTATCATTAGCTTTCAATCAAGATTAAAAAAAAATCTTCATTTTTTCAACCGTATTATTTCAGCAGCAGGCCTGGGTGACCATTCTGCCATGGGCCCGTGGCCTCTCCCTGCCTAAAAAGAGGCAGAAAGAGTGCTACTCTCTTCCAGGCATCTGGGTACCTGGGGAATAACAGCCCTGCAGGCTCCTTTTCCAGGAACATGCTGAGGATCCCACAACACCAGGATCCTTGAGGTCTAGCCCTAGTGCATGCGTGGCTTTTGGGGTGTTGTGATTATCAGGGAGCAGGGCTACTTTTCTTTCCAGACCTGGCTTCTTCTCAAGTATGCCTTGTTCTTCAGGACTATTCTCACCACATCTTCCTTTACCTTTTAATTAAGTTGGCATTTATTGCGTCTATACCAGGAGCCTATACCGTGTGAGGTTTAAAGATCAAAAAGACTGAACCTAAAGGAAAACCAGCAAGAATGAAACATACTAGGAGCCCTGGGATAAAACCCTTAATCATGTTATATGGATACAACTGAATTTAAAGAATATACGGAACACCTCGTAGGAGGGAGGGTCTGTGCAACAGGCCAGAGTGCAGGTGAGGACAGCTGCGGTCCTCCAAGAACTCCTTCTCCAGAAGACAGCACCCTCCCAGAGCCAGGCCTTGGTGCCACGTTCCTCCCCTCACCCCCTCTTGATTGAAAGCTAAGGGTTAACAGAAAGCACCGCGGGGGAACCTGGCCTGGGGTGTTCCCCTGGCACATGCCAGTGCCATGTCTCCGGGCAGGCGGTGGCCGGGCCAGGCCTGGAGCTCCCAAGCAGAGGGCTTCAGGAGGCAGAGATGGCCTGTGCCCTTCCAGAACACGGGCTCTAGTCCCTATGGCCAGGCGCTGGTGGGAAGGGGTGCTTTGGAACTGTTATGTCCAGAAGACTGGAGATCCCTGGATGGAGAGGGCAGGGGGACCCTAGGATGGAGAGTCTGGGGAGCACCTAGAGAGAGTGGGCTGGGAACCCTAAGACAAAGAGAGCTGGGTGGGCCTGAATGGGGGACAGGGGGTCTAGGGTGGAATAGACGAGCCCAGGAAAGCCTGGCTCCGGGACTGTGGTCCCTGGAGTGGGACCTGCGCCCCTCTGCTGCGGGCGAACTGCCAGCTGCCCACCCTCGGGCCCGCCACCCACCTGGGCACGCCCTGGCATAGTCGAAGCAGCAGTCCCCGGTGATGCGGCAGGCTTGGTCGCAGAAGCACGTCCCGTAGACCCGGTCCTGCCTCCAGCCGCTGGCGAAGCAGGCGGGGTCCCGGCCGGGGCAGCAGCGCCCGGCGTCCGCGCAGCCGGCCAGGGCCCCGGGCCACAGCCGCGCCAGCACGCACAGCGCCATCCACAGAGTCCTCATGGCGCGCGCTCTGCACACCTTCGGGGCAAGTGCCGGGGTGCCTCGGAGAGCGCCGGCCGCGGAGCAGCCCGGCCCGGCCCTGCCCCGCGCCGGCCCCCGCCCCTCCCCAGCCCTGGCGGCGCGCCCGTCGGAAGCCGGGCGGGGACCGGCGGGGAGGGCGCCTCCGCCCCTAGCGCCCGCGATCGACGCTCGGGACACCGGCCCCCTGCCCACGGCGCCCACGGCCCAGCCCGCGGGGAAGGCCGGGACGCAGCGGGAAAAGCAGGTGCTCTGGGATCTCAGGGAGCGAGCGGGCCCGCCAGCCGCCCCGCTAGGGCGGCCACGTCTCCTGGCTCCAGACTGCTTCCTGACGTCTGGGGACAGGTTAGCCAGTGGGCAGCTTGACTCCGAAGCCAGGAGCTATATGGGCACGAACTCGATGGGCACGAACCGGGCTCAGTCTCACGGCTCGCCCAGTCTTAGCCCAGAAAGCCACGACGTACTTTTCCCAGGACACCCAGTTCCCCTCCACAATCTCCCCAGGCCACTAAATCGAGAGATAAGACTGAAGAAACGTCCTTTCTTTCTGTGGCATTTTCTAATGGGTTTTTCCTGCCCCCAGGAAAATACCACTTTGTTTCACCGAAGAATCAATTAATGATACATAGACTACCAATGGCGCCTGTCTTTCTGTTAAAGCAGATTTCCCCAAAGAAATTGTGCTAGATGGTATTGTAGAATTAATTTCTGCTTTAATCAAGTGCCATCCTACCATCGTATAGACATTTTCTTCCACCTTTTTCTCCAAATATGTTTTCTGTACTTTTGTTAACCAAAAAGTTCTGGAAGTTTCATTTTCTTTTGTGTTTTTAAACATTTAAACTATTCATGATTTTTGTAAGAAACTGAGACCATAAAGTTGTATCTGAGAAATTTAATTAATTTCTGGATAATTTTTTTCCTTTCTCATATGAAGACTTCTCAAAGAATTCCTGTTACTCTTCAGAGACTAGGAAAGTAACAAAAGGAAAAAAAACAACTTGGCCGCGAAAATAAACAATAATCACATATTAAAAAAGATTAAGCAAAAAAGCTGTGACATGAAAAAGATTGAATCTTTTACAAGAATTGTACCTTATAAACTGAAATCACAGATAAAGTTTGACAAGGGTACAAAGCAATTTTTCCCCGCTGTCCAAAGAAAACACACTCTAAAATAAAAAAGAAATCTTTTCTTTGTGATTATTTATACTAATAAATCTCAGGCTTGGAAATAATCTTATTTTCCTCTTTAGGTAAGTCTCTCTTTTTGCAATTTAATTTAAAAAGATTTACTTTTTAATATTTTAGTTCTTGGTAGTTGATATTAAATAACTTTCTCAGAAAATTATACCCTCTGCTTTTACCTGTGTACATTTTATTAGCATCTTCATACTAACTCATTCGTGTAATTTATCTCCCACATCTTCCCTAAGGCTGTCTGCTTTATGGAATGCCTTTAGCTAGAGACTTATTCTGTAATGTCTTAAGAATCTGGACTTGTTCCAAGAAAACATAAATGCTCCACTGACAAGTTCATTTTCAGATACAGAAAATAGAAGAAGATGACCTCTGGTTTAAGAGAATTAAAAATACAATGCCCAATGCTTCCTCAAATACTTTTTTTCATCCCTTTTTCCTTATACCCAGACAAAACCCAGAATCTAAAATCAAAAACAGGAAGTTGGGAGTCTGTGCTCAGAAAGGTTGGGTCCAGTTCTGACTCTATAATCTTGGACAGTTCACCTCCAGTGTCCTCATCTCAAATAAAGAATACTAACTTTTAAGATTGCTGTGTGTTGTCTATAGAAATGAGGTGATGTAGGTAAATTGAGAACAAAGTGGTCATTAAATATCAATTAGATGGTGTCCTAATGCCCACCCCCCCTCCCACTTCATCATTTAAAGCCTAAAACCAAGTAAGAGACAAACTCCCATTTCAGCTGTGTGCAAAGTAGGGCGAAGGACTTCCCTGTAGCTCAAACGGTAAAGAATCTGCCTGCGATGCAGGAGACCAGGGTTCCATCCCTGGGTCAGGAAGATCCTCTGGAGAAGGGAATGGCAACCCACTCCAATATTCTTGTCTGGAGAATTCCATGGACAGAGAAGCCTGGCGGGCTAGTTTGTGGGGTCGCAAAGAGTTGGACATGACTGAGTGACTAACACACACAGCAGGGGAAGCACAAAGTTAAAAAGAAACTGCAAATATAGCCATCTCTCTGTCTGCGGTGGTGAGAGAATTGGTTCCATGACTGACCCCACCCCCCTCCGCCTTCTCTCCCACAGATATCAAAATCCAGAGGTGTTCGAGTGTCTTAAATACCATGGCATAGTATAGTCACCCCATCCCAGTATCCACGGATTCTGCATCCACAGATTGAACCAACCACTGGTCAGTCGAGTACTGTGCTTGCGTGCATTCATCCAACTCTTTGCGACCCCATGGACGACAGCCCACCAGGCTCCTCTCTGCATAGAGCTGGATGTAAATGATTACTTCCTATCACCAAACATGAAAAGGAGCTTGTCTGTGGTAGGTGACGTTGAAAGAAACTCACAATTTCAAGTTAAATCTTGCACGGCCTTGAAACCATCAAGATAAGATTCTCCAGCCAGCCCCTGCAAGGGAAGCAGTTCTTGCCGGAAGGCAGAGTCGAGGGGACACTGACATTTAAAGCTGTGGAATTCACATTCTTACTGAAAACTGGGTGCAGTCGAATGCAACAATCAGTCACTTTGTTTTCCACGTCCTGTAGATCTTAGAAGAACAGAAATCATCCCAGTGAATGTGTGGCGAGTATAGGAATTCACGAAACCTACCTTAAAAGACGCTTTCTTCTAACGTGTTGTTTTTGGAAGTTGCCCAAGACTGGTAAAATTACAGAGGGGGAGGGAGGTCTTTCCGTTCACTGGATTTCAGAAGGCCAGTCATTTTAAAGGACGTCAACATAGATGATCTCATTCAACCTTGCACAACTGTGAGGAAAATGTTGGCACCCCCATACCACATATGACAGAGATTAGACATCTAGCTAATTAGTGAGAAAACTAGACCCGAACTAAATATTTCCAAAATATTAGAGAGTTCTTCCCATTACTTAAAGCTTGGTAGTGGTGATGGTGAGAGGGTAATGGAACATAAGGACAAGCAAGACTGAGTGCTGTGCTAAATGTGTGGAAATGAAAATACGAATAATTTCCAGAAAGGTTTGGATATATGTCAGATGGATGGACAGAGAGTCATAAAAGGCATCCAGGATGCTCTGAGGGCTGTGGAGGCAATCTCTTGAGGTTGATAAATAGGAAAATTGATTCTTTTTTCCTTCCTTCCAGTTTTACTGAGATATAATTGACATACAGGGCTTTCCTGGTAATGCAGTGGTAAAGAATCTGCCTGCCAATGCAGGAGATGTGGGTTTAATCCCTGAGTTGGGAATATATTCTAGAAGAAGAAATGGCAACCTACTCCAGTATTCTTGCTTGGGAAATTCCATGGACAGATGAGTCTGGTGGGCTACAGTCTATGGGGTCGAAAAGGAGTTGAACACAACTTAGCGACTTAACGACAATTGAGATAGAGCAGTGGATAAGTTTAAGGTAACAATTGACCACACACATCATCATATGATTATCACAATAGGTTTTGTGAACATCCATCATCTCCTATAGATGCAACATTTGCAAAATAGAACAAAAAATTTTCCTTGTGATGAGGACTCAGGGTGTCTACTCTCTTTAATATATAATGAAGAGCAGTGTTAATTACCTTTATCATATTATACACTACATCCCGAGTACTTATTTATCTTATAACTGGAAGTTTGTAGCTTTTGCCTGTCAATTCCCCACCCCTCCCCCACTCCCTGCCTCCAGTAGCCACAAATCTGATCTCTTTTTCTATGAATTTGTTTTTCCCTATACTGTACAGTAGGCTCTCATTAGTTATCTATTCCAGGTCTCCCGCACTGCAGGTGATTCTTCATCATCTGAGCCATCAAAGAAGCCTATTTTATACAAAGCAGTGTATAGATGTCAATCCCAATCTCCCAGTTTATCCCAACCCCACTTTCCCCTCTTGGTGTCCATACGTTTTTCTCTCTGAATCTGTGGCTCTATTTCTGCTTTGCAAATAGTTTCAACTTTTTTTTTTTTAAGTATAATTGACTGAAACACTATGTTAGTTCCTGGTATTCAACATAATGGTTCAGTATTTCTATACATCTCAAAATCATCACCATCATAAGTCCAGCTGTCATCTGTCACTCTACAATGCTATCACGCAATTATTGACTGTATTCTCCATATTGTACATTTCATATCCATGACTCATTTAATTTGTAACTGAAAGTTTGCCCCTCTTAATCTCCCTCACCAATTCATATCCTCCCCAAAGCCCTCTCTCTCCCCCTGTTTGTTCTCTGTAATCTATGTCTCTGTTTCTATTTAGTTACGTTTACTTACTTGCTCTTTAAAATTATTTATTTTTGGTTGTAATGGTCTTCGTTGCTGTGTGTGGGCTTTCTCGCGAGCTGTAGTGAGTGGGGGCTACTCTTCCTTATGATGTGTGGGCTCATTGCTTCTCTTGCTGGGGAGCAGAGGATCTAGGCCCAAGGGCTTCAGTCATTGTGGCTCTCGGGCTCCAGAGCACAGGCTCAGTAATCGTGACTCAGGGGCTTAGTTGGTCTGCAGCACGTGGAATCTTCATGGACCAGCGATCAAAACCACGTCCCCTGTATTGGTGGGAGGATTCCTACTCACTGTCACCAGGGAAGTTCTTTGTTTTGTTTTGTTTTTAGCTTCCACATGAAATAGAATAGATGATTCTTAGGCAGGTTTTGGAGCATTTGTCAGAGGCAAAATACTGCATGGATATCAGAAAGTGAAAATGTCAGTTGCTCAGTTGTCTCTGACTTTTGTGACCCCATGGACCGTAGCTCACTAGGCTCCTCTGCGCATGGGACCTCCCAGGTAAGAATACTGGA